GCGATTAATCATTATCAATTATTTTAATAATTTGGCAGCCCTAGTTATTCTTAATATTCATATGAGGGTCTCCCGACAAACAAGCAAGCAAAAACATAAGAGTATGAATAAATACACCTTCAACGAGTCTCCATGTCATCTTTATGGTTTTGGTAATTAGCATCACTGAATCTTCATATGCTATAAATCGGCTTTGCCGTCTTTGCTGCTGGAGCTGCTGAGGTTTTGGTGTCGGGATGCGTCTCCTGTGTCATTTTCCTTTAGCGTACACATTTGCGGATGTCTGTTTCATTCATAAACATGCCGCAGGACGTAGGTGGGGGCATCGACTCGACAGGAAATGTGTCAGCGCTTGCCCTGCGCTCGTGAACTTCATCTGTTACCCAACTCTTCCAGTGTTAATCCCACTCACCCCGGCTCCTTCCGTTGCCATGGATATGCCATCCCTATGGCAACTCGGGGCCTTTTGTGAACGGTCTCGGGTCCTGACGACGGAAGACTCATCTCACGTTCCCCTCAGGCTTCTAAAGAAACACAGCACCGGCCTTCAAAGCCTGCATGAAGGAAACCTCTATTGAAGCGATAAGTTGAAAATTCTAATTTATGCAATAACCCCTCAACCCCCCAACCCCCACACCCCCACATCCGCACACCTCTCACCCCTAATGTAGTCAATCAGCCGACACCCGCTCGCTTCTTTAGTTTTAGCACTGGAGCTGTGAGGCTCATAAGTAAAGGAAGGACTCTTTAGTCCATGTTTGTGTGTCAGAATCCATGTTTTCCCAAAATCCCTGCATAATTAAATGGTTAAGATGTAAACAGAGCCATTCAGAGTGGTTTGGTGTGAAACACTCCGTCCTAGAGAAACTTACCGAGTCAGAATTGTTCACAGTGGTGGTGACAGGAACCAGTTTATGATGGCACGAGACACATGTAGGCTCGCTGGTGGTTTAGGATAGTGAATAAAATGGCTATATTTTTTCAAACAAAGTTTATTTCTGAATTTTATAAATACAATTTTAAGAATTCGGTACAGAGACACATTCATACCCCCTCTCCCCACCCATGGTAACTTTCAGAGAGTATAGAACTTACATTATACATAGAAGTTAAATAAGTAAGTTAACATAAACAGCCAAATAATGTACAATAATCATATATATATATGTGTGCGTGTGCATATATATATATATATATATATATATATATAAGACATCCCATGGATAGAGAAATGACACAAATCAAGATTCTTCCAGGGTTTAGTTTCCAAGGCTGCTAGTTACATTAGTATAAACCAATGACTTTTCTCAGATGTAGCATTAACAGAGCTTAAAGCCTCAATATGAAGAAGGAAAGACTGCCATACTGATGTAAACATACCAGCTGACGCCCTGACCGTATACCCAATCTCTTCAAGCTTCATGAAATACAACATATTCCTAATTCATTGTGCAAATGTCAGAGGGGTTGCTGTCTATCCATCTAACCAGAATTTGTCATAGAGCCACCAGCAAAGATAAAAGACATACTTTGTTGTTATTTAAAATAAAAATAATAATAATAATAAAAAAACAAGGGAGGCTGGCAGTTCAAAGAATTCACCAATAATGTTGAAAAGCATATTAAATATTGATTAGCAGAAATTAAATAGTTCAGGACAATCCCAGAACATACAAATTAGAGTGTCTGGTTCTGTTAAAATGTCTATATCTGTGTTGTCATGGCGACCCCTGGTTCCTATCACCACCACTGTATCACCACCAAACCACTCTGAATGACTCTGTTTACACCTCAACCACTGAATTATGCAGGAATTTTATAAAAATTTTATGTTGAGCTGAAGTTGTTCTTTAACTAGTGTCCTCACATCAGTAGAGTTCATCACCTGCTGAGTGACTTAGTGAGAATTTGTTACCCCATTCATGCCAAATATTCCACTAGCGTGTGCTTTCTCATGGAAACGAGGGTCTGATATTGTGCCATTGTGGTACCCTGCTAAATAAATGGCCTCAAATGGAATTACTGCCAAAGTCTGTGCTAAATTTTTATTAGTTGATTTGAGTCACTGAACGCCACAGGGCTTCATAAAGACGAACAGCGTTCCTTCTGATTCAGCATTTGAATCAGCTTTAAATAATCAGATTCTCATTCCTCCGAAAAAATATATACATATGGGATGGATGGATGGATGGATGGATGGTTCTACTGAAGTGTAGCAGTGAGTGTCCATTATTCACGAAGTCCTTATAGGAAAGCCTGTTCACTTGGTGGCTATTTTGGAAAAAATTCTTAGGGTGCTATGTTCCCAGGGCCTTATGTTCCTAGGGTTCTATGTTCCCAGGGCCTTATGTTCCCAGGGTTCTATGTTCCCAGGGCTCCATGTCACCAGAGTCCTATGTTCACAGGGCATGGGCAATAGCCAGATGGATGGATGGATGGATGGATTGAATTGTACAGCAGTACAGCATTGTACAGAGTGTACATTTTTTACAAAATCACCCATTTTGCAATAACAGTCACCCATTTGCAACTGCCTTCCCTCATTGCTGCACTTCAGCTCTGCCAAAATTAACATGTATTTGTAGCCCTGCTTGCATTTTCACTGTCAACCAAGCACTCCTGTCAATCAAACGCTGTAGGTGGGACAGTGGGAGGGGCTTTTACAGGAAGTGAACATGCCCAACACAAAAAGTCCCTAAAAACATGTTAACAAAATACAAAAAAGGCTATATAATAATATATTTTATATAGATATAGTATTTATATATATATATTATATTATTATTATTTTATTACTATCTCTATTAATTCCTTGGGGTCCTTGAGGTTCCTCTCGATTTGTTCATCTCTTTAAAGGCTCTTCATGTAACATGATCCTCATATGTTTCATATCAAAATGCTCCGTTATCTTCATCACTACTTTCCAAAACTCCTGCAGCAACTTCAGCAGCTGTAAACTCTCTGCATTTCACATGAGTCTCCGATGTGGACTGAATGAAGAATGAAGGGTTTCCGGTGTGATGGTCAGTCCTTAGTGATTTCCTGAGTGTCCATTGGTCAGTTTCAAACAGAATGTAGACGGACACATGAATCCAGCAGTTCCACATGGTGAGAGGCAGATGACGTGTATCTCAGCCCCTCTTCATAGGCTCATAACTCGGACGTGAGTCTTGTATGATCTCATGATGAGATGGAATGAAAAGGCCGACTCTACAGATTCAGGAAATGATTGAAATGTATTTCTGTGCTGGATCATCACAAAGATACAGAAACAGATACAAAAACATCAGATTTGACACAGAGGTGAGTTTATGGACCCCAGAGGGTTAAGTAGATCAGAACGTAACCCATGTGGGTTTTTGTAATGTGTGAATACAGTTTAAACTGATCAGTAGAACGGTTTGTATAATGCATTTTAGAGTAGCAAAGAATGGAATATTTTTTGGTGAAAACAACAGTTACAATAGCTCCATCCTCCCAGACAAAAATCAGCAACAGAAAGCTTAAAAAGTAATAAGTGCATTCAGTGTCCTTCACTGAACCGAACACCTCTTATGCAATCTGTTTTCCCTCGTTGCCCCTTCCCGTGCTCACAGCCTCGCTCCAGCGTGGGTGTCAATTGAAAACATCCTCAGCAGGAGATCAGGAACATCAAGTCATTTCAGCCTTTATGCAGATGAGTTTTACAAAGTATCCCGATAGAGTTTAAAGCTGTGAGTGGGGGAGGGGAGAAAACCTGTGGAACAGCACGTAATATGAATCATTGAACAGATGAATGGAATCCGCTAAGCTGTCCGTGCGGTCAGCGGTGTGTGATACCACTGCCATGTACTGAACGAGTGACGATGGAAGAGAGTCTACATCCCAAGGTTCTCTGCTTCCAGGGCCCTATGTTCCCAGCGGTCTATTTTCCCAGGGCCCTATGTTCCCAGGGTTCTATGTCTCCAGGGCAGTATGTTACCAGGCCCTTATGTTCCTAGGGTTCTATGCTCCCAGGGTCCTATGTACCCCGAGCCCTATGTATCTGCGTCCTCAGGGCCCTACGTTCCCAGGATTCTGTGTTTCCAGGGTTCTATGTTGCCAGGGCCGTATGTTCCCATGGTTCTGTGTTTCCAGGGTTCTATGTTCTTAGGTCCCTATGTTCCCAGGATTCTATGTTCACAGGATTCTACGTTCCCAGGGCCCTATGTTCCCAGGGTTTTATGTTCTCAGGGTTTTATGTTCCTAGGGCCTTATGTTTTTAGGGCCCTATGTTCCCAGGATTCTACGTTCCCAGGGCCCTATGTTCCCATGGTTCTATGTTCCCAAGGCCCTATGTTCCCAGGGTTTTATGTTCTCAGGGTTTTATGTTCCTAGGGCCCTATGTTCCCAGGATTCTATGTTCCCAGGGCCCTATGTGCCCAGGGTTCTATGTCCCCAGGGCAGTATGTTCCCAGGGTTCTTTGCCCCCAGGGCCTTATGCTCCCAGGCCCTATGATCCCAGGGTTCTATGTTCCCAGGGTTCTATGTCCCTTAAAGTATCACTTGAAGATATAAAGGACTGAACATAAGACCCGGGGAACACAGGCACGCTCCCAGTCAGAGATTTGTGAACCATGATAAGAATTTTTTTACTTACATTGAGTTTGAACAGTTGAACTGAATGTACTTTGACCTCAGTGCACCAGACCCTCTGTTGTATCTGATCCGTACCCATTTATTGTAGGTCTATTGGAACGAGCCTCGCCTGCTCACTAAAACTGATTAGACGGCATCAATCAAGCCTGAACGAGCCTGAAGGCATGAATCTGACACAGGTAACCAGAGCTGAGTCTTTAAAGATGGATGAGAAGGCTCGAGGAGAAAGTAGAACAGCACCAAGTGCACCAGTAGTGAGAGTTAATGTCAGCCTGCTGGCTCAAGCGGTCCGTCCGTGTTTCTGCTGTCTCCGTGGGGTGTGTTTCGAGTGTGTTAGCGCGCTAGCGTGTGTGTGTGGACAGGTGGAGCGCTCCACCTGCTGAATGAACGCTATCAGTATTGGGGAGTACCATGGGCTACGGGTGGGCTCGGCCCTGCTTAGCATTGTAGCAGGCTGTATTATCATCGGAGTGTCCAAGGACTGCGACGCTGATGCTGTAGGGGGCATCTTCCTAGGCGCAGGAGGACTGGGTGAGTATCTATCTAGAAGTAGCTTGGTGAAAAATGTAATTCACACACTTCCAGGACATGTTTGGTGTTGCTTCTTTAGTTGTGTACTTAAAGCTACACTATTGCAAGTTTTGGGGTTTCGGAGACCTCTCTGGTGGAAATGTGGAATTGCACACAATGTGCAGAAGAACACGTAGCGTGGGTTGTGCGGATGAATCTGAGAGAATTCAAAAGGCTACGTTCACACAGCAGGTAGAAGTGGCCCAAATCTGATTTTCTTACCAAATCCAATATTTTTGTTTGGCTGTTCACGTTATTATTTAAACGTGATCTGTATGTGACATCAGTCTGAACAGATCAGCTCCTAAACTGACCCACATGCGCAAAAGAACAGAGCTTCACAGCTCATCCAGAGGTAAACAATCATGCCTGCCAACGAACGCCAGTCGATCAGCTTCATCTTCACCAGCATCACAGGAGTCATCATGAAGCTTCACTGACTGACAGCTGGGCTCATCACCCAGAATGTGTTGGAGCCGTAAAAAGGGCGCGGTCACTTCTTTGGTTCGCGTCCTCGGATTCTTTAAACTGCTTTCAGACTTTTAACTGTTCTTTGATGCTGCAGCCTCGTTCTCCTGCGGCCGCGATCGGACAGTTCTTTCGAAATCTCTTCGAACTCGGAGGGTTTTAATGAGTCTCTTCTAATTTTGGTACAGAAACATCAGCCTAAATGTTTTTGAGTCTCAGCAGCTCGAAATTATGATGAATGTGGAGCTGGATTGACGTAAAAGTTGCATGAATTCTGATCTGGCTGAGTCGCATTGCTGCATATCGGATACGAATCGGATTTCAGTACCACATATGAAAGCGTCTCAAAGCGGAACTGAAAATGTCAGATTGAGTGTGTTTATCTGTTCACACTGACACACAGACACACATCTGTCTGGAAAAGATCAGATTTGGGCCACTTTTACCTGCTGTGTGTGAATAAAGCCAAAGAGAACTCAGTCTAAACTTGGTGAAGGAGCGTCTTCTGAGGATGTGAGTGAATTATCTACTATTGTCATCACATCTTCATCAGTATGATGTTGATTTTGAGGTCATTTGTGACCTAAATATTGAGCTGGACCTTCTTTCTGAGCTTACGTTTGTGACGTTAATATGTAAAGACCTAAGATGTGGTGTGAAAAACACCAGCCCGGTCCACTTATGATCAGGTCACCCAGGAGGCATGGTAAAGCCAGCTGTAAATAGGGCCTTAGTGGTGTATGTCGAATCAAACATCTACCAATCATAATTGCAGTCTTTTCTGGCTGTTTGGCTGCTCCTGATTGGTCAAATCCATCTACAGTCCATGTTTTTGTTTCTACTGGATTGAATTTCCCATTTAAAGCTTGTTAAGGCAGCTTCATTAATAATATAGTTAATAATTATAAAAATTGCAGCTCTTGAGGGTTAAACAATTACACTCTTTTAAATCGTGATTTCGATATAAAACGGATGAATTGTTCAGCTTTAGGTATAAGCTAAGTATAACAAAGAGATTGGTGTCACATACAAAACTTATGTAACCTGCAGTGAGTTGAATCAGTCATTCATTCGCCTAATGGCGCGTTCTATCATGTGGCGCTTTGTGTTAATTAAGAACGTCCTGTGCTGCTCTGAATATTTATAGGAGCAAACTATGAGGTATTAAAAGTGAAACCTTATCATTTATTTATGGTAATTATTGTACTTTACCCTGTTCCAAGATTCAGAAATGCTACTCCCGAGTAAGAGCTGATACGGCGCCGTGTGTAATTCCACAGCGCACAGCTGTTTTGCATATCATACATATTTAATGCAGGTCTTAATTTCAGCTCTCCATCAGCGCACATTCATATTGTATTGTTTTCCATTTTTTCCCCTTTTTTGCCCCAACATGAACACCCTACAGGCAAACATTAGCATAGGAGCATCCTGCAAATAAACAGTGACAAATGGTGATGGTGTCTCAGATGAACCTGATCTCTTTTTCGACGGCGTTAAGTAGAAACACTGCAGCTGCTTTTCATCCCAGTCTGTCAGAAGAAGCTCATTGATCATCTGATCCAGGCTTGTAATCTAAACTGCTCGCTCACTCTGCTGTGTTTTGATCCATCGTACTGGAAGAATGTCAGGATCCATCACATATACATATGTATATATATACACACACAATATATCACCAAAAGTATTCACTCACCCATCCAAATCATTGAATTCAGGTGTTCCAATCACCTCCATGGCCACAGGCGTATAAAACCAAGCACCTAGGCCTGCAGACTGCTTCTACAGACATTAGTGAAAGAATGAGTCGCTCTCAGGAGCTCAGTGAACTCCAGCGTGGTATCGTGATCGGATGCCACCTGTGCAACAAGTCCAGTCGTGAAATTTCCTCACTACTAAATATTCCACAGTCAGCTGTCAGTGGTGTTATAACAAAGTGTAAGCGTTTGGGAATGACAGCAACTCAGCCACGAAGTGGTCGGCCACGTAAAATGACAGAGCGGGGTCAGCAGATGCTGAGGCGCATAGTGCGCAGAGGTCACCAACTTTCTGCAGAGTCAATCGCTACAGCCCTCCAAACTTCATGTGGCCTTCAGATTAGCTCGAGAACAACGTAGAGAGCTTCATGGAATGGGTTTCCATGGCCGAGCAGCTGCATCCAAGCCTTACATCACCACGCGCAATGCAAAGAGTCGAATGCAGTGGTGTAAAGCACCGCCACTGGACTCTAGAGCAGTGGAGACGTGTTCTCTGGAGTGACCAATCACGCTTCTCCGTCTGGCAATCCAATGGATGAGTCTGGGTTTGGTGGTTCCCAGGAGAACGGTATTTGTCTGACTGCATTGTGCCAAGTGTAAAGTTTGGTGGAGGGGGATTATGGTGCGGGGCTGTTTTTCAGGAGTTGGGCTCGGCCCCTTAGTTCCAGTGAAAGGAGCTCTTAATGCTTCAGCAGACCAAGAGATTTTGGACAATTTCATGCTCCCAACTTTGTGGGAACAGTTTGGGGACGGCCCCTTCCTGTTCCAACATGACTGTGCACCAGTGCACAAAGCAAGGTCCATAAAGACATGGATGAGCGAGTTTGGTGTGGAAGAACTTGACTGGCCTGCACAGAGTCCTGACCTCAACCCGATAGAACACCTTTGGGATGAATTAGAGTGGAGACTGCCAGCCAGGCCTTCTCATCCAACATCAGTGTCTGACCTCACAAATGCAATTCTGGAAGAATGGTCAAAAATTCCCATAAACACACAGTAAAATAAACCTTGTGGAAAGCCTTCCCAGAAGAGTTGAAACTGTTATAGCTGCAAAGGGTGGGCCGACATTATATTAAACCCTATGGATTAAGAATGGGATGTCACTCAATTTCATATGCGTATAAAGGCAGACGAGCAAATATTTTTGGCAATATAGTGTATACATATGGCCACATCTCCCGCAAGTCCACAGCCAAACAAACCAGTAGCGGGATGCTACAAAATATTCGGGGTGTGATGGTACACAGAAGACGCGGTTCGGTTCACACCACGGTTTGGACAGCTTGGTTTGGTATGAGTTCATTTTCACCATAAAGCATAATTGATGCTTTATTAATGATGGCTGATTGTCTCTGTTTCCATAACTGGGGTGGCCATGCTTGATTCTTGGCCACACCTTGAAGGAGCTGACATTCAGTAAATGCTGTGTTTAAAGAAAAACACAATCACTAAATCAGCAAAAACTTTTTTTTTACCAAAGAAATTTGATCCATAACTTTCTAAAACTTCCAACCAGATTAGCTGAAAACTTCAGTTACACTAGTTATTATGCTAGCTAGCATACTTGCTATCCAAACTTCATGCTAGCCAACACTTTCAGTTTCATCTTTCCTTTAAACATTTTCTGCATGAAGCTCTTTGTTGTGTCCATCAGGCTGAAGCTTAGATATACATACCTAGATGCCGCGTTGTCTGTTGTTCTCTATGTGAGGCGATACGTCTGTGAGTCCGCCATGTTGGAGAGGTCGAGATCCGCTTGTTAACAAATTCACTTGTATTGAGAGACGATGAGTCTCAGGATTAAATCAGCCTCAACTTCCTTATTACTCAACCGATTTTCACCTAATTTGTTTAGTTCTAATCCTCAGACACAGATTAATCTGGGCTGCACGGATCTGCTCTCGGTAGCTTTTATTACTTTAATAACTGATCGAGCTAATTAGCCGTCCAGACCAGCAGGAAAGTATTCAGTCTGCACCTGACGTTAAAAACCGAGTTTAGTGCAAGAAACATAATCAGACACATCAGCAAATCCATCAATGTGTGAATCACTTCTGATCTTAATACACATAAACACCCCAAAACACAGTAAGAAGGATGAAGCTGAAGGCTTCCTATTCACCAGCTTCTTGTTTCACTTTCTGGTGCCTTAAGCTGAACCATTTAAGGTGGAACGGGAAAATTCGAACAAGATGCTGGCAAATAAGAAACCAACTTCAGCTTCATGTAAAAATGTGCTAACGTTAATCTATTATGAATATCTACACAGAGTTAGGAATGCTATAACTTACCGAGCTACAAAGCTTTAACCATCATTGAAAAGAGGAAAAACAATCACATCAACAGGTTCTCTGTGCCGCACCAACCACACGGCCATATCTACCCATAAACATCACACACACATGAGTGTGGATCGCTGCGTTCCCTCTGTTATATAATCCTATATATAATCCTAAATAGTGTAATTTTGGACAGTATCTTTCTTAAACTGCCGCTCTGTAATGGTACTGAATGCAGTCCAGCAGCGATGTTGACCGCCCTAAAATGGCGGCACCATTGACGTGCCTAGGTATGTATATCTATGGGCTGAAGGTTCAGAATTTGAAACCGGACACTGGAACTACGAGGCTAATTTAGCTAACAAGTAAAGGAAGGTTATGCTCCACTAATTAGCATGGTGCCACCTGCAGCCTAAATCACACACAACTCAAACCGAGTCTTTAAAGGGGAATTCCA